TTAAATAAATTCAACTTTCTGAAATATATGACCCCAAACATCCTGCCATCTTTGTTTATTCTTCAAAATGCCAGGAGACTCAAATATTGACACAAAAATTGGTGTTCAGATGAATTTGTGCAGCTGTGTGTGTTTGTGTGTGTGTTAATACGCAGGTCAATATTGCATGTCCCTCTTGCTCTGTGTGTCTAACAATGTGCTTGTTGTGTAGAGGTGAGAGGTGAGGGGTCAACGTGTCAGCTGGAGTGTGTGTCTGGTATTTGGCACAGCTGTACCAAAAGAGGAAAGGGCATACGTGCACACACATCTTTACATATCGTGCACACTGAAATTGTCCGTATGGCAGACAGTCTAGGGCAGAAAATACAGACTTTCTTCAAAAGTAAACTGAAAATCACAAAGCTGCCACCTCACACAGGTCTAGAGTGATAGGTCTGAATGTGTGTGTAATTTATTCAAGTTTCAACATAGAAAAAATTGCACAGTATTTTAATATATCACAGAAGAGTGTATTTTTCAAGCTCAAGGAATAAGAATATATAATATATTTATTAAATATATATGGAATATCATAATTATATGCTACCTTTAATGTGAATACCCTTTTCTTATTATTAATATGTGTTTTTTAAATGCTTCATGTGGTCTAAATGAGAAATGAAACAAGCTGAATAACCGTGTGAGCGTTATTGACCAGTTATTCTCATTGCTGAGTGTGTGTCCAGTGTGTGTGTGTCAAGCTGTTTGTATTCACACAGAAGAGGTGTGTGAGAGTTGTTTACCCTGTTAACTGACAGTATGTACAGCCTCTGCTTTATAGTCATTCATCCAGTAAGCATTTGCACCTCTCACTCATGTGAGGGTGTGACTTTGATTGCAATCAGTTTTAGCTCCATCTAGTGGTGATAGAGGGAAACTACAATCATGCAAACGAAAAGTCTTGCAGTTTAAGCATCACAAGCCCTTCTGCAGTGTGACTGCCACCCTGGGTATCACATGTGTTTTCTATCAGGTTGTGTTAGGCTGGTGGTCTGCATGTTTGCTCAGTTGTGGCTGTGTGGTTCTGAGTGGGTTAGAGTGTAACAATGATTGCATTGTTTCAGACCTGAGAGACACCTGTTGCAAACATACATGCAGTAAGTACAGTGCACCATTATACACCAACGGCATATCATTATTTTTGATTATATTTATATATATATATTTTCAGTGGTTTGCATACTACCTCAATGAGAGAATCAAACACTAAGAACATTTTTACTTTATTCAGGATGTACGAAAGTCACCCCTGGTGTTTCTGAGTTTCTTGAAATGTTGGTAAATTAGATATATGAGCTATATATTGACCATAAGCATTGATTTGAGCTTTTAAATACTGCAAAGAGTTGTTCAAACTTTAAAAAAATATACTGACACGATTTCAAATGTACATATGCCTGCACATTTCATCTCACAATCCCTTTTTTCAATTTTGAAGGTGTAGTTTAGTTTAGCTGTTTGCACTACACTAATACAATAAATGAAAATGTTTAGAAAGAAAAGTCTGTACAAGATTATTCCCCATATTTGAAAAAAAAATTCAATTAAATCTCAAAAACATCAGGTAGAAGTCATGAAGGCTCTGCATTAGTGTTATATAATCAGTGTCACATATACTTTACATGGTTTTGTATTTATTTTAGCAGCTGTCAGTGGGAATCACCGGCTACTGTAATCTCTGCCTACAGCACCTGCCTCCCGTGTTTCCTGTCTTAATGACTGCAGTGTAATTGTCCCGCGTTCACATCAAAAGAGTTTAGCCATCTGTGAGCGCTTATGGCAAGAGAGGCCGATGGAGCAGGCCGAGGGTGAAAAAGGAAAGTAGAGAGAGAGAGTTTGTTCCCCCTGACTTTCTGTTTTTCTACCTTGTTTCATATTTGCCTCTCCTCATCTCGTGAGGTGTGTCGCTGCAGTTTGTCCTGCCCCGGACAGTGTGAGTGTGCACCTCTGTGGCCCCGCGTGTTATTTTTGTGGGTGTGTTTTTGTCGTGATTGTGGTCCTCCGGGCAGGAAGGGCCCCGGCTGCAGATGTGAGCGGGGAACAGAGCGGCACATTGTACTGGGTGTACTGGTGGGGCTCGGGCTGCAATCTGATCCAGTATCCTGCCATCACAGAACCACGCTGTCTACTGTCACTCCCTGACCTCCCCCAAAACACACACACACACACTGCACCTTTGCCTGAACCTCTCTCTCCCTCCTTTCCTCCTTCGACCTCTTTCTCATTCCCAGCATTCCTGTGAAGATGTGCAAACGTTTTGAAAAAAGTGGAAAACAAATTCAGTGCCCTCTAAAAAAAAAGTCAGGAAAAACATGAAAAAAGTGTATTTCTTTTCTTCTGTCCTTTTATAAAGGTTCCTGTTTTGAATATTATAACATTTGATGGACTAACTAGACATTGACGCCTGGAAAAAAGCACAACTCTTGAACAATTCTCCCTTTTTTCTACCTTTAATAACTACTCATTTCTGCCTAAATCTACTGTTATTAGGGACGTGTGTGTTAAGGATGGTTAATGTAGCATCACAACACCACTCAATCCAACACACACTTTCTTTCCTCCTTGCATATTGCTTGCTCATACATCCATCTTCTCCCCATCCTCTTCCTCTTTCTGCCTCTGGTGTCGAGTGACGTTAATTGCCTGTGGTCTAGACACCATGAGAGTAATATGAACACACCGTTTGCTCTGTCTGAATACATATGACCATCTGTGGGTAACTGTTAACTCTGAGAAACTGGGTGTCACCTAAACACGAGCACCACTGATGCGATCAGTGTGAGTTTCAGGACAAACAAAAGAAAACTTCAAAATTGAACCCAATATAAAACATCCTCATTGGCTGAAAATTAAGTTAGTTGCCAGATTTATAAAAAAAATCATGCATGTTAGTTTCTGTTTTATTATAAAGTGCTGTGAGTCTTTGATTGTGGCTCTATATGTTGGTTTCTGATGACAGCTGTGCCTCCTGCTGACCTTTGCACTTTACAGCATTTCATGTACAAGTAGTTATTATAAAGTATGTAACAACAGTGGCCCAAGTGGTAATGGGCTCCCTGTGTCATGTATATGCCTTTATATGGTTTTATATGCACTTGTATGATTTTTCCATACCTGTAAATGACAGTTTATTAAAGTGGCTGCTGAATGAAAGCAAATCGGTAACTTCATAGGCCGCATCGCAGGAGGGCCCGGTTGTTATATTTTCTTTAGAGCTGTAGCCAATGCATCACTGCCACCATAAGTTTATTATGAGAAGGGCCATAGCAGGGCCGGCTGTAAATGAGTTTAATTGGCTGTTAACAGCAGAGTTCGCTCTCTGGAGCACCTCAAACTCAGGAAGGCTAGCCAAGAAGAGGGAGGCAGGATAACTGAGTTAGGGGAAATATGAATACTGGGTGATGTTTCAAACCATAGGGACCCATCAACATGTTCTAACTGTCTATGATGACTTTGAATTACATTTAGATTTGGGTTATCTGGCTGCAAAAAAAGAGTTTTAACAGTTTGCAAGCATTCTATTTTGAAATCTTGGCAGAAGTCATGCATATTTGTCATTCCATCCTGACAACAGGGTACATCTGCTCGGCAATTTGGGAGAAGTTACACCATAAAAATGTGCAGCATAAACAACCCATTTTTGAACAAATATCACAAAAAGCGTGATACTGAAATGTATAAAGCAACACACAACAAGACTGAGCAAAAGTGTTCGCAACGCATGTGACATCCATTGTTTTTAAAGATTTAACTCCTGTGAAATAAGTGCTGACAAGTATGTCAAACTAAATATATTATGTTTCAAATAATCAGTTCATTCAATTCAAAACAATAATAAAGACTTAAGAGGACTTTTTTTTAAATATATCTGCAAAATTAGTACCCGTGACTTTGATTTTCCTTCTTCCTCTGTAGTTTTGCTACTTTTTATTTCTATGTAATGTATAGTATCCCAGGAAATGAAATATAACATAAGAAACATGGCTGCTTTAATCCAACTTGTCTTACAGTTTCGTTTTCCTGCAGCCTTGGTGGTCATAAAGGAAATAAAACCCTACATTTCAGAAACTACAGCCATACATTTCAAACTGAAACACACAGACTGACGCAGTGCCTTTGAGCAATGTGAGAAAGCCATGGAGGTAAACCCCAGTGCAGACTGAGGGTGGAGAAACAGACCTCAGCGTGTGAGAGTGGAGACAGGATGTGAGGCTGGGCAGTTTGTGTGTGTATTTGTGTACACTGAATACCTGGAGTGTGTGTGCACGTTCTGTGTATGTCATGTGAGACTGTGAGATGCTTGTGTGTCCTCAAATATTCACCTGCCTCAGCACTATCACGTCAACAGCCACTTGTTGCTTGATAAAAGTGAGCAGAATAGAGGGAGCTGTCTGCGCTCAGACTTAAACTGAGCTGAACTGTATGTGGCTTGGACTCTGGCCAGCTTACTTTGACACAGTGCTTCCTTTCTTACGTTATACATATATACAGTGGTTTCCATTGTGGACATCCCCTGTACCTGCTCCTATATCGCATTAGAGCTGCAAGAACATTTAAGATGACTTGCAAGATTCACTTTTTTTTTTATCCTTTGGGCAAAGTTAGGCTTCTGCAGCTGCAAAATAATGGCTGCAATGACAGATGAAACTGACCTCAACAAAGCAAAAGTATAGGAGTACATTTAAAGGTGTTGAGGTTTACAGGATGGTGGGCCTTCTGAGGCTTTTGCAGAAAAAGTAGTACATATTGAATGATTAATGAGTAATAAATTGTGTTTTCAATCAATGTGTATATTCTGTATGTCCCCTCCACAACTACAGAAAGTGCTAATGGCCAGAAAAAGGTGTCAAAGTTAGATCCTGTATCGATGAATGCATGTAATCGACTGATGTTACTTTACTTAGGCTTTACGTTTTGAAATGTAAAACAACATTTAATGGCAGTATTTCTCTCTTCCTCAGACCCAGTGGATGTGTTGCGGGCTCTGCAGGTTCCCTCTCTCCCTGAGGGCGTGAAGAAAGTCCCCGGCTTCTGCGCGTCCCGCCGCTCCGGCACCCCCGACCATGCTTACCGCATCAGCAAGAAGGCCCAGATCTCTGCCCCCACCAAGCAGCTCTTCTCAGGTAGGCTGACAGTCCCGTATGGGGGGGATTAGATCGTTTGACTATATGGAAATACAGCATTTCCAACATATTGAAAACAAGTTGAAATCTTCATTTCAATATGACTGACTTAAAGGAGTACTTTATTTTTGCATTTTCATCATGTTGGAGGACTTCAAGGAGCTCCAATCAGAGCCACGGAGGACATCATTATATGTTTAACTGGCTGAATACTCCTGATTAGTAAACTAAATAATCCCTTTTGCTCCATTTGCTAATGTAATTATGCATTTATTTGACAGAATTGTTTTATTGGAGAGCAACTGAATGAATAGCTGGCTCTTTATTTGATTGTTCATTATTTTTGTTTCCTCTTTTTAACCTTCAAGTTCAAACGTAGCTTTATTGCCATGACTGAAATGAGGTACAATATTGCCAAAGCAGTAAGGTTTACAATATGAGAGCGAAGTATGTTCTCAAGGGAAAAAGAAGAGAACAAATGTTAGGCTATGCAGTTTACTCTGTATAATATAATACAAATAAAATCAAGCTATTAGAATGCAGTAATGTATTGTTTCCCTCAGGCTAGTGCGTGCTGTGATCATATCTTTAAGCCTCCCTTGAAATGTCATTGTACATTTTGTAGGTCTGATAGTGGCTCAAATATGTAACATATGTATTTTGTTTCTATAAAATGTTATTTAATGTTATTGTTTGTTTGTTTTAAACATTCATTCATGCATGTCTTTTAACAGACTTTTTGACTTTGTAGTAACAGTAAAAAAGGACAGGATAATCTTTATATTTCACATATTTACGATGAATTCCAGAGTGCAGAAACCTATCATTATAATTACAGGTTGCTACTTATGCATTGAGGTATTTTAAACTCAGCTCTCTTGGGTTTAGTGAGGCTTTGGTGCCCCGTGCTAGATTGCTCATGGATATAAAGCATAATTATGTGTTGCAGTGCAGGGGTTGAGTGAAGCCAAAACAAAGTAGCTTAAGGATACTGTCTGACACCCTGGAGTGAGGAGCAATAAAGAGAAAGTAGCACTTATGTGGTTGTGAATAAATCCTCAAAAGTCAATGTTGATTTCAACTCATTTTCTAAAGTTTAGTCTTCCATCTCTGCCCCCCTGTTATTATGTGTCTTTATCACCTATGCCCTGAGGGAATAACACTGATGTTCTGAAAGCACTTTCTCCTGACACAGATCCCCTTTAGGCTCATCACTCATGACCTTTTTCGCAACATACATGTATTATCTTGCACGACCATATTCCTACTTTAAACCATGATGAATAAATGTTCTGGTGCACTTCGGTCAGCTTTTCTTTCGGTTACTTTCTCTATCATTTGCCTCTTTCTTATTTTCTTCCTGTCCTAAAACACTCACCCCATGTTTATGATCTAACTCTCTCTTTCTTTCATTGCCTCTCTCCCCCCTTCCACCATCAATAGGTCGATTCCCGGAGAACTTCTCCATCATGGCCCTGGTTAAGGCCCAGTCTGGTCTCCAGGCCTTCCTCCTCTCCATCTACAGTGAGCAGGGCATCCAGCAGCTGGGTATTGAAATGGGACGCTCCCCTGTTTTCCTGTACGAGGACCAGAATGGCAAGCCAGCTCCTGAGGACTACCCGCTGTTCAGAGGCGTCAACCTGGCTGATGGCAAGTCAGTAACCAGCAACAACCGGCTTGTGACTGGTTGAGATGACATGTTTGGGGTTATTATAGGGGTGGGGCAGTATGTGTGAGAGTTGGAGTGTATAATGTGGTTTAAGGGTTGGTTTGAGACCTATCTAATGAGGCCTGTAGTCACAGTACAAATTTATTCGCCTTCGCTTCCTCCTCTTTGTCTCTAGGTGGCATCGCATCGCTATCTCTGTTTCCAAGAAAAATGTGACACTGCTGCTGGACTGCAAGAAGAAGATGACCCGCCCCCTTCCCCGCGGCAACCATGCAGAGGTGGACACCAACGGCATCACAGTGTTCGGAGCCCGCCTGCTCGATGAGGAGGTTTTCCAGGTAAGGCCATTTTTTTTTGGATAACCTGCGAGGTACGCTATTTATGGTTTAACTGATTGTTCTACGCATAAAAAGTACTATCTTTTAAGTAAAGGCAAGGCAAGTTTATTTATAGCACTTTTCAACACAAGGCAATTCAAAGTGCTTTACACAAATGAAAGACATTAAGAGCATAAAACACATTAGAAACATTAAAAAGCAAAGGTACCGCAGCATCCGGACTAAAACCACCAGACTCAGGAACAGCTTCATTCCACAGGCCAGAAGACTGTTAAACACCTGAACTTTGAAACAACATCCAGAACATTCATCTGGCTGCTACTTAGAAATTATTTATCTAATATATCATATTCCAATCACTTGTATATATACTCTTATTGCACTATTTCACTATTTCACTTTTTTACAATTTTTCTTTTTGTATTTACTATTTACTATTTACGTGCACTATTTGTTTCTGTTGTTCTGTTTTATTGTGTTGCACTGTTGGAGGAGCCTGTGACCTAAGATTCTCATCGTCATAACTACACTGTAGCTATGTTCGTATGACCAATAAAAGCCTTGAACCTTGAACCTTGATAATAAAACATGAATAACACAGGTACATGAATAAAAGTTATAGTGCAGTGTAAGATGTGAATAATGAAAAGTAAGTCAAAGTCAAATAAAACATTAATGTTATATTTTCCTCCATAGAAGTTTACATAATGCCCAGTAATAGATGATGCAGCTGGGAATCTGTTTGTTTTCTTCCATAGGGAGATATCCAGCAACTGCTGATCGCCTCCAACCCCCAGGCTGCCTATGACTACTGTGAGCACTACAGCCCTGACTGTGACTCCCCGATCCCCAAGACCCAGGCTCAGGACCCCAACACATACGTGAGTAACACAGCCACAACACAAGTCCATCCACAGACTTATGAAAAACAAAATGTGGTCGTTCACACGTATGAAACTCTTTTATCGGCGAGTTGATCTGAAAACGTTCCCACAGGCTACAAAAACTAGCCTCTACATTTTTTACTCACACACTTTCCCCTCTCATTGAGGTAACTGGAGAGGAGGTCTCTCAGTTGTTACATTAAATATTAATCCCATAGCTCTAACGAGACTACTTACTAGCATTTAATACCGATCTAATAACCTAATAGTGCTAAGCATTATGCTTACACAACTCATCCCTAAAGTTGTAGGCTCATCCGATAAAGCAGACCAAACATGATCTGTGGACTTTGTTTTCCTTTTCTGTGGCACGTTTCTCAATAATGATTCACTTGGAGAAAGATAACCTATTCACGGTGCTTAAATAATCTTAGTGTTGTCGTGTGTAGGAAAAATAGAAGATCAATTAGAAGAAGGCTCTCTAAATAATGTTCTAAAACATATTTGTATGTGGAATTAAGAGAGTTCATCCGACTTCTATCATCGATGTCACTATAGACATTTCTGTGTCACTTCTCTCAATTCCAAGGACCAAATAAGTGCAGTCTTTCAAAATGTGATTTGTGTTAGGAAAGCTATACTGCATGAGAAATGTGGTCTAGGAGTAAAAGAAAGGCCACACTAAACGCACCTGTCCTCTGAAAATGAAAGAAAAGTCCTCAGGTTCAGTTTGCTATCTGTTGATGTCATCAAAGTGCTGCTCTCTCTTTCTGTCTTCCTCACGCATCCCCATCGTTAGCAACAGTTTGTATCCATCCACTTTCCTCCTCACCTCCCTGGTCTGTGTGTCCCTGAGGTAAAGAAAGAAAAGTAGAGGTATGGTGATATCACACCTTTGGGCACATTTCCACCATCTTATTGGAGAAACATAAGCTTGTATTGTTACAGCAGTGGATTAAATGTTACTTTTTTCTGCTATGGAACACAGAAAGGTAGGGGAAAGAGGATGATACAAGCCAACGTGTCTTTCCCTCATTTGTTCCCCCATGGACTGAAAGAAAGAGTTCATAAAACAAGCGAACAAAGATACATTCTGATTGGTTCTCTGGTTACATTGAGACATATAGGCATATGACATGGAGATGGCTTAAGGTGGAGCCTCTTTGCTTACTGAGACTGGTTGTACACATTACATACGTCATAATCATGCAAGCTCTCTCCCTTTTTCTGTCAAAAACACACTGATATTTGGGATTCCCTGACACCAGCTGCGTCACATTAGCTAGAGTAGCATCCGCATTCATGCATCCAAAGTACATGATCTTTATTTTATAAGCCTGCATTACGGATCAGGCAATACAATAATTGTATCAGTCACTGTACAGAGCTCCAACACTTTGCGTCCCAAACCCTGTTGATGCGGTTGAAATGACTGCTTTCTGAATGAATATAAATCTGTGTGATTTTATTCATTGGCTTCACCCATTATGGTTTTCTCTTTCATCAAGGAGGTCTGTGCATTTTTTACTCCTTCTGATGAAGGGAAAATAAAAGCTTAGCATTTTATTTGTATCACCTTTGCTGTCTCTTGCTGTCTATCACCATGTTTTATTTGTTCCCGTCCCGCTGCTTTACCCTACACTCACCCCTATCCTTTTTACCTTCATTTATCTGGCGAACCCCTATACACCTCTGTGTGGAAATCCACCCCGCCACCTCTCCATGCATTCCTCTCCTTCCATCCCTCTTGCTTTTATGTCCCCCTCTGCTATCTCATTCTTCCCTCTATCCTTCCTCCATCTTTCAATCCTCCCCCATCTCTCTTAGTACTTTGATGAGGAGCAGGATGACCATGAATACCCCTATTATTATGAGGAAACAACAGGCATTCCCTCCTCCTCTGCGTCCCCCTCTCCCCAACTTGGGGCCCCCAGTCAACAGGTAAAGAGGGAGCACGAGAGAGGGAAAACACCAGCGGGGTTATGGAAGGGAAGGATAATGAGAGAGAGAGGTATTGAAGCAATAACTGAGGATTTATCAATAATATAGGTTTAGCTTGCCAAGTATTTGAGTATCAACCAAATTTGTATTACATCTTCCCTAAGATATTTGGTATAAAATCTACATTTTCACTTTTAGCATTTCATATGCCTCTCTCATCCCTCATCACTCCATACCTCCTTTGTTTTATTCACATTTCACCTTTTCTTTAATCCACATTGACACAATCACCTCGCTTCCACCGTCTCCGTCACACAGGATTACCTTTGCTCCTTGTGATTATTTTTGTCCTCATGTCATTTACATGTTGTCATATATGTATGTGTGTTCAGATGTGGCCAAGTGGGGGCACGAGGGGGGTGTAGGTGCAGCTGTGTTGTTACACACACATGCAAGCCTTTTCTCACATTCCTCCAGTCTGCACTCCTTCATTATATATCCTGTGTTTATGAACAGGTGTCACAAAATGTATTGGAATATACAAGTGCAAAGATAACAACAGAGCATAACATATATGACACATAAAGGGTCACCTTAAATAGGTCATTTGTTAATCAGATAAAAACAAAATGTATTTACCTGTTATTGAGATTACTTGATATGAATTTCTTAATTTTAATTTGTAGATCTGTTGAAATTATAATATCAAACTAATGGATTACATGATTATTGGGAGTCCCTTTTTTCTTAAACTGACCTTGGTCTTATAGCCTTTGTAAATAACTTGTGTTTTTATAAAATATGAATTGTACCTAACTTCGTCACACGATGGGTTTTAATTTGCTTATCACAGAAAGCATCAATAAATTGACTTGCTTTGTGACGGCAAGACACTTTTAGCATTCATTCGACTACACCCAGCTTTTCAACAGATACCTCAACACATGAGCACAAAAAGCACAGAAATATTTGCAATACGATTTGACCAGGGCATGTGTCTGTATTGTCTTGTTACTTGCATGATTTCTTAATTATCTTAAAGGATGTCACCGCATGCTTGTACTTCTGGGTCATCGGTTTCCATACACATTTTCCAGGCAACATGAGAATGTCAATGCACGTGTTTTTGTCTTGATATAAGAATTCATAATTGTACACCTTACCTCAGTATGGTATACAAATGACACACATGTAGCCAAAGTCTCTGTCTTTAAGAATGTTTGTGCTCTTGCATATTTAAGGTGTTTAACTCACAATGATGGACATTTCTCTCTGCATACTATATTAGTCGGGTGAACTTTTTGTAAATGAAATGTTCATTTGCATGTATTTTCATTATAACAGCATGACTGGTTCAGCAGGAATGAATCATGTACTGTTGTTTTCATTTTTTTGTGTTATGTTACTAACATGCATTTGCATGCTCCCCTGGCATCCATATTCCCTCTTGCATAGCTTAACAAGCTTCGTCCTGCAGTTTGACTTGTCAGTGCATTATACAGTGTGTGTATGTGTGCGTGTGTGTGAGTGTGTGTGTGTGTGTGCTTGTTTAGCACCAGCTTCACCTGACCAGTCACACCCTTAGTGCCTCTGCCAAACCACAGGCTACAGTTCATATTAGCGCAAATATGCTGCTTTTTAATTTAATATTGGGAATGGCATTACTGGAGAAATCAGCAAAAACCATAAACCTCTTAAAATGTGAATTTTGAATTTTCTTATCCAGCTGTATTTTTGTTTACTGTTTTAAAATGTGAATTAATCCTCAGCTGTATCCAGTAATGCCTGTACAGTCTCAGTAAATCATCCAAGCCTTGGCCATCTTAATGTCATTGTTTCTCAAAACATCCACTCTTGTCTTTCTCTCTCCTTCTGTCCATCCCTTGTTTGTGCTTTTGATCCCCCTCCCAACCCTTCCGTGTATCTTTGTCTTCCTCCACTCTCTCTTATCATTATACACTTTTACATACTAAACACCATCCCAACCAAAAAACAAAACAATCACGGATATTAGAAGAAGGTGATCAATGGAGAATCCGTCCCCACTAAATCCACTCCTGTCAAACCAAAACCAGCTCCTGCTAAGCCAGCCAAGACTGTTCCATCCAAACTTGTCGTCAAGTTGCCTATGCCTGCCAAAGCTCCCAAGACTGTTGCAGCCAAGGCAACCAAAGCTAAGCCCTCCGCAGTAGAGATCCTCTTGTCTAAGATAAAACCAACAGCAGCAGCTAAATCTAAGCCCGTAGCTGCTCCAGCTAAGAATGGCAAACCAACAGTGGAAAAGAAAGCCAATGGTGCAGCTAAAGCCAATGGCAATGGAAAAGCAGCTGTAACAAAAACTAATGGCAATGGTAAAGCTACAGCTGATGCCAAGCCAGCAGCTCAGGCCAAGGTGAATGGGAATGGCAATGGCAAGGTTGTAGCTGAGAAGAAAGTCAATGGTAATGCAAATGCAAAATCTTCATCAGAAAAGAAAGTCAATGGAAATGGAAAAGCCACTGTTGTGTCTAATACTAATGGAAACGGCAATGGCAAAGCTACAGCAGAGAAGAAAGCCAATGGAAATGGCAAAACTACTATTGAGGTTAAAGAGGTTAAAGTCAAAATTAATGGCAAAACTGAGAGTAAAGTCAGCGGTGAGGCTAAAGCCAAGGCCAATGGCAAAGTTACTACTGTTGTAGAAAAGAAAGCTGTTGGTAATGGTGCTGCAAATCAGGCAAAAATTGAAACCACTACTAAAGTAAAGACTGAAAAAGTTGTCAAAGTAGAAAAGACCGAAAAGACTGTGGTCATTGCACCTAAAACAGGCGCCAAAGTAGAAAAGACAGAAAAGACTGTGGTCATTGCACCTAAAACAGGCGCCAAAGTAGAAAAGACAGAAAAGACTGTGGTCATTGCACCTAAAACAGGCGCCAAAGTAGAAAAGACAGAAAAGACTGTGGTCATTGCACCTAAAACAGGCGCCAAAGTAGAAAAGACAGAAAAGACTGTGGTCATTGCACCTAAAACAGGCGCCAAAGTAGAAAAGACTGTGGTCATTGCACCTAAAACAGACACCAAAGTAGAAAAGACCGAAAAGACTGTGGTCATTGCACCTAAAACAGGCGTCAAAGTAGAAAAGACCGAAAAGACCGTGGTCATTGCACCTAAAACAGACGCCAAAGTAGAAGCTACTAAGGCACCTAAACCGACAAAAGCAGCAAAACCTGATCCTACAAAAGCACCAAAACCTGAACCTACAAAAACAGTGAAGCCTGTGGCCACCAAAGCTCCAGCTGTGAAACCTCCAGTAAAGGAAGTCAAAGAGGTCACCAAAGTGAAAACTGTTGTCACCAAAGTCGCTCTGGTCAAAACAAGCGTCAGCAAAGTTTTGAAGAATGTGATCGAAAAGATTACCATCCAGAAGAAAGTTGCTTCAACATCTGCCCCTGTCCAGCCCACTCCACCCAGACCTACAAAACCGAAGGTGGCGGTGGACAATAATGTCAAGTCCCTGCACAAACCATTCCCACCGTTTGGCAAGACTATGCTGGGTGGAACTTCAGTCCCAGCGAAGAAAAATACCAACGGTTATCAACAGGTACAACAAGAAGGACCATGTTTGGGTCAGAATGTCCAGAGTCGTATGTCCCATCTGTCCCATCTGGTTGCCAGAACGTTTCACCATCTAGGGTTTGCAACTCGTTTGCAGTCTTTTGTATGCATAGTTTCATCTTTAAATAGGTGGCTTGCAGTGCAGATGTTGAGTTAAATCCTGGATGGTGGACAATCTGGTCATCAGAATGGAAGTTGGTTCATACCAAGCTGGGTGCCTTCTTATATATCATATGATCTTTACGATTGCCCCAACTTCTCCATATGATATGATACAGCGGTGCACATTGAAGCATGGCTTATTGTACGGTTTCATTGTTCTTTACTTCCCTATACTTCCTTCAAGCTGTTGAAGCTGGATCTCAGGAACTGAATACGCAGCACTCCACCTCTTTCTTTTCGGGGAAAACATTAACGTACCGGTGAAATGAATGAGCATGGATTTCTATGGCACAAAAACTAAACTTAAGAAAACACAAATACTATCACATTCTATACACAAGCAACACAACAAACCTCCTCTGTTACTCTGTCATTCTCTCCTTGTTTTGTTAGTTTTAAGTACCTGTGTTTCTCTCTCCCTGTCTTTTGCCATATTTTGTATCAAATACGAATAAAGCAGCCTCACAGAAACTAAAAAGCATGTGTGCTTTTGTAGAAGTTGAACTTCATGAAATGTCTACTCTATTATGACGCTGACCTGCTTTAAGGTTGAGGGACATTGTGAGGTTCATGGTAATTAGTGGGTTCTGGGAAATAGATGTAAAATCTGGAATTAACTGGATTGTTTTCTGTGAGGCTGCTGATTGTGGTTGTCTCTCTGTTTTCTGGTCTTGGGTGAAACTAAACATCCCAAAGCATCAAGTGCTGATGTTTTTATCTGAAGGGATGGATAGAGGCTCTCAGTCCTACTTCCAAAAAGAGGAGACTTCAACCTTTCATGAATATTGGCTTTGTGAACTTTAAAAAGTTGTTGACCAATACAATAAAAATAAATCTCAGCAAAGTAGACTCAATGACTCCCTAAATCTTGCATATGGCAACATTTATAGTTATTGAGATCCTGAAACCTGACATTTCTTTTGTAAAATGGATCTTTACAACTTTAAAAATGTGAGTTGCCACTAAAAACGTTTCCTTCAGCACTGGCAACCACAGTTTTATGACGTGTTCCATTTTATTCTTTTGACTCATAACTTACAAGCAGAATTTGAACTAACCGCGCTCTTCCGTTCAAATCTGCTTATTTCCTCCCTGCAACCCAATTCCTGTCAACTTGACCAATCAGGATGTAGATACTGAATATTCCGAGGCTGGCCACACCCCTACAGAGACTGATTATTACTATGAGGAGACGGTGCCAGAGGGTGAGGTGATTGGAGAGGAAGAAATCCCTGTACAGGTAAAAAAGAAAATGACACACTGGTCGGGTCACACAGATAAAGAACAATTAAATAGTCCAAAAACATTTTATATCAACTTTATAATTAACATACATGAAAATTATTGATTTCTACAGATAGATTTTCTTTTTTGCCCAGTAAAATATAAAGAAACAGAAGTTACCGATTAGCCCACAGTGACAAATACAGGAACAAATCAGCGCCTCAATACAAGAGACCTCCATCGCCAAAGGTAGAAGACAGTGTAACACTTGTGTGGTGGTGAGCCCAGTCTTTGTAGTTTAACCAAGTAGTACAACTCCGTGTCTCTCTTCTAACCGCACATCAATGTTTTGTTGGCCCTGATGCCACATAACAAGAAACAAATCTTTGTCAAAGAGAATGCATGACATTCATCTGCTTGTATCATCAAATATTCTTACGTGGCTCCTTTTCCCCCCTAACAACAAGATTCCTGTTCTCATCTCAAGGTATTCTGTTGATCAGGTTGTTATCTTGACATAAGAACAAAAATCTTGTGGAAAAATGGATCCGCATAGGAATATTCGATATGCAGATTTAACCAAAGCAACAAAGGGAGATGAATATAATGCATTCTGGTTTGAGAGAAAAAATTAACTGAACTAAAGAATACAGTAGTTGCTGTGGCTAACCTTACAGCCCTAAACTATATCAGAATTTGAGAATGAGTTTCTCAGTTTTGATCTGTTTCTCACAGTTCACCTGTTTTTGGCAATAAACCGTATTGTCTTTATAACCGTTTAATCATCCATGTATATTAGCTGAACTTGATGACTTTGTTTTGTTTTCCAATGTTGACGCCATGAATTTTTTGGTGCCTATTATAGAAGGGTTTATTTTACGACCAAATACGCACATTTGTTTGAGTTGAAAACTCTTTTTGTATGAGGTAACGGTACAGCATTATTCCACTGGATTCATTTGTTTTAAAAGCACCCATGGTAAGTAAAATAGAAAATAACATAGTTTTTGCTTTGCTAAGCATAGCGTATTGCAACTTGTTTTCACAAAGTGCTTCATATCAGTTAAGTGTGTTAAGAGAAAAGGCAAGCATGACATTGAGATTAATAGTGCTTTTGCATTTCTCTCTGTCTCAAATGTGAAATAATATATTTGGAGAAGTCCCTCATCACACAAGCTGATAAGGATACGCTTTGGTGAAAACACATACTATTATAGTCTCAATAATAGATCATTAACAGGAGATTTGAAATGTCAGGAAAAACCTGCTAATCCGTAATTCAACTGAGAAGATCAGACTGAATTTACAGCATTAAGGGCTGAAAAAGTCCCCACAGCCTGTCAGATGTCTTATTTCTGTCCTTGTGTCACTGTTTATTTGCAAAAGGTAAGACTCACTTCTTTCTACATATGCCCTCTTCTTCCACTCCCCCTGTTGTTTGCTTCTATATTTCTCTTTTCTTTACTAACATTTCCCCATCATACCTTTCTCTCTTCCTTCCTTCCTTCTTTCCCTTGACTCTCTATTTTCCTTCGCTTGATTCCTCCTCTCGTGCCCCTCTATCTATCCTGTTGCGCCTCTGATAAACCAAACCAGCCCCAGGTGGAGACCACGTTGCTGGGAGAGGAGGTAGATGCCACCAAGGCCGGCGGGGTGCTGGAGGAGCCCTTCACTGAGGAGTATGTGACTGGGGACTTGGGCCTTAAGGAATACGACTATTCCTACAGGGACTACAATGAGCCAATACAGGAGAATGGAGATGCCAACATGGGCCCCGCCCTGTCCGCTGTGACAGATGAGGGAGGCGTAAGTCGTTTTGCTCCTGATGCAAAAAAAACTACAAAACCAGTTTCAACCAACTCTGAACACTTGTCTTGGTCAAATGTTATTCAATGTCCTCTCAAATGACTTGTTTGAGTCTCAGGCCATTATGGATAAACATACTTTTTTAGGTGCCTGGAAAACTCAATCAATCACGGAGAAACATGTATTTCAATGTGTTTTAAATACCTAAATGAACAAGACAAGTGCACAAATCAATGGTTGAAATTGGTTTTATTCTGTACGGTGTATAGTGAGCAATTCAGCACCCTAGGAATAATAGCTATTACCATGGTAGAAGCTATTGGGGTTCCTAATAAACATACCGATAACTTGAACTATTGTGTACACTGCATAAAGAGGCATTTTGAAGTGCAGCAGTAACCGATTGCTGCATCCTTTTTCTAAAATGCCATTTATTGCAGTGCATGGCTTCATTAAGTGCTGCTAAGCCCAGATGATGATCAATGCTAAGTAATGGACCAAAAGTGTGTAGAACTATTGAATCATCATCATCATCATCATCATCATCATCATTTCAGCCAAAGCTTATAACTCTATCAAAAGCAAAACAGGTTTTTATTTTATCATTCTATTTTCTACACTTGCATATTAATGTGGTGAACTATTGTGGGCGTCTGTATGTATATGTGCACCTGTTGTCAAAATGCATGCGGCCAAATCTGCATTCTATGAGTGTGTGTGTGCATCTCTATACTGACTATGCTGTGTTGTTGGCTACATGTGTGTTTTCCTCAGGCCGCCGTCAGAGGACAAAAAGGAGAACAAGGAGACCCTGCTGTCTTGGAGCCTGTGAGTTACTTATTGTCTTTACCTGAGCATTTGATTTGAACTCGATCATTCAGGGACAGAAAGACAAAACCTTACCAACTCACTTTCCCAAGAAGCTCCAGGGGTTCACATCAGCAGCCCTCTTGTCATAATCTTGCTTGTCCAACTCTAGAAGGTTTTGCCACATCTATTTGAGGGTGTCATTGAAAGCCACACCTACTCTGTTAAAAAACAAAACAGCATATAAACATCGGGCTACCTTACATATCTTTGTCTGTTATTTTAATTGGCTGTGACCTACATTATAAACCATCTTACTGATTTCCAGTTGGGAGCTTGACAAATTCCCTAGCTTAAACAGCTCGTCATTCAAGTTACGGTAACCATGTCCATCCAAAGACTAAATGACAAACCTTAGCCCGTTGACCTTGCAGTAAAGCCACAACACATTTCCATTTGTCATCTGAACTGATTCATGTATTTTTCCTTTGCATATTTTACCTTATAATAGTGTCATTAGTTATTATACATTTGATGTAGCTGTTGAAAATGAACAGATCCCCACAGTAGGATCCACATGTTTTCTGCTTTAAAAAATAGCACTACAATTGTACTTTCAAATAAACAACAGAGTAGCCTGATTGCAGGAATATTGTATATTTGCACTGATCTCCATTGTATGTGTGTCAGGGTTTTTTTGTTCCCTTTCGTTACATTTCTAACTTTATTGTGTATTTTGCAGGGTATGCTAATTGAAGGACCTCCCGGACCTGAGGGAGCTGCTGTAAGTACATTGTGTTTATTTCCTTGTTTTTTATTCTAAAGACATTTTCCGGCTTCCAAACATTTACACGTCTGTAGTTTACTCCTTTAGATAAGTACCTTTATTCTCTGAGCTCAGAGTTATGTTGGCAGTACTGTAATTTGCTTCATGCAAGTATGAGGTAACATCATAGTCGGTACACTTCTTTTTAAAAGGCTATGATAATTACCATCATTTGTTATGTTCGGCACCATTATCACGCTGTGCTTGACGCTGAAATAGAATATGACAGCCTCATCGAGTCCGAATAAGAATACTCAAGTTCCCCTTCCCATCTCCTTCAGGGTCCTACAGGCCCACCCGGCTCTTCTGGACCTCCTGGCTCTTTCGGTGACCCCGGCGAGAGGGTGAGTGTTTCACTTTATCTGAAGAAATACAGGTTGGTAGTGTCTTTGCACTGGTCTGTGTAAAAGAAGTGTATTTAGCTTCCACTCTCTCCTTGAACCTGCCATCTTCACCCCTCCCTCGCTACATCCTGCAGGGCACTTCTGGTAAGGCTGGGATGCCTGGATCTGACGGAGTCCCTGGACCTCCTGGAACATCTGTCATGCTGCCTGTGAGTCTCCCTAATCCTTTGAAAATGTATTAGAAATGTCTGAATATGAGTGATATTCGCCCCAACGTTTGCATTTTGTGGATACCTTTAAGATTTAACATTGGCCCTTGTTCAATATTATTTTAAACATTTGTATCATCATATTTAGATTTGTTTGTCCTTATTATTAGTTAAGTAATTCAGCGTTGTGTTGATAAATGATATTAAATGTATCAAACACTCACAAATGTGTGTTCTTCTCCCTTTTTCAGTTCCGTTTCGGTCAGAGTGGAGGAGAGAAGGGTCCATCCGTTTCTGCACAGGAAGCCCAGGCAGCAGCCATCTTGTCTCAAGCCAGGGTCAGTCCTCACTTTTACTTCACATTTCGTTTGCCTCAAGGATCCTATCAGTTGAGTCTTGACACTTTGACATTGCCAGGGATTGTTGCCTTTTTTGAAAAACGATGTGGCCCAAGGTGTATAGCATGTGTATGCACATATGACTTGGTAGACATAAGCCTTTCTTTGCTATATATTTAAATGAAGGGTCATCTTTTGTGTAGCCGATTGCCTCCATGATCATTGATTTTGAGATGTTACTGTCTCTAGATGGCTCTGAAAGGACCTCCTGGACCAATGGGATACACTGGACGCCCTGGACCTTTGGTATGTTTGCAATCATTGGGACCCTTACCTGTTTATAACAAGAGTTGGTGTTTTGTTTACATTTTCAAGGATTTTGATCATATAATTCTCTTAATTGCAAAAACAGCTTTTTTTGTTTTTTTTGTCAATATTGTATGATGGTGATGGTGATGGTGATGGTGATGATTTCTGTTTCAGGGAAACCCAGGAAGTAATGGTCTGAAGGGAGAAGGTGGAGACCCCGGTCCTCAGGTAAGAACATCCAAACAGAACTCTTGTTTCATATCAAAGTTATATCAGTAAGATAGTTTGTATGCAAAATCATGTAATGAACTCTCCTTTTTACAGTTACTGCGGTTATAATTAAACTTATAGTACATTTATACTCAGCTCAGATAAAAAGACCACAGACATCTAATTAAATAATCCATTCTTCAGGGCCCCAGGGGACCCCAGGGTATGATGGGACCTCAAGGCAAATCTGGCAGAAGAGTGAGTATGACAAATGTCTGGTTTTCCTTTTTTTTATTGTTGTCTAACCCAAAGTTAAAAGGGCATCACTTTTACCTTTTTTTCTCCGGGGGGGCTCAGGGGCTGCTGAAATGTATATTCTGTTATAAATGGTGTAGATGTTTAAACAAATAACAAGTGTGTCATCAGAATGTGTTACTTCCAAAATCCTCCAGAAAAGGTTTTGTCTTATGCATCACAGACAAGGAATCATCTATTTTCACACCCCTCCAAAGTCTTGTTTAGGATCTCCCTGTCTGTTAATACCCTGTCAAAAACCAAACAGGGGTTTGTGGCAAGTGGTACAACTGTGTCTCGTATACGGAAGCCCCTTTAAAACGTGTTCTTCCTCACAGGGCCGTGCTGGAGCTGATGGAGCCAGGGGAATGCCAGGAGAGTCTGGAACAAAGGTACGCTTTCTCTGCTGTCAGTCCTTTATGGAGATTTCTGCTATTTGTTTGTAGCTGAAATTACATTGTGTTTAAAAGTCAATGAGTTAAAAGATAGGGAAAAAATCTCGACTGATGTCATTTAAGTGTAAATTCACACAGGCAGTAACTGTGGTGTTTAGATGCATGTAGCTTAATTATTTTTATTATGGTGAATTTGTGTAAATGAACAACCTGGTAGGCTTCACAAGAACACGATAAGGTCAACTTGTACTTGGTCTTGCTGGAACAATAACGTCCATTGAGACGTCTCACATACTCTTGTACCCCAAAATCACAGCTACTGTACAAATCAAACTTTGTATTATGAATGCATCAAATCCACTTGTGATGCATTGTTACATCTACTACAATGCAGCTATTAGTCCTAACACGTCTTTTATAATGTTTGTCTCTTTCAGGGAGACCGTGGTTTTGATGGCCTTCCTGGTTTGCCCGGGGACAAAGGACACAGGGTGAGTCCAATGCACATTACAATCAAAATGTTACATACAATTCACACAGTAATTGAATTAGTAAGGATAAGTATGAGATTCGAATACTCTCTTTGTTTGAATATCTGTTTGTTAGCAGCTTTATTTTGTTTCCTCACTCTACTTTTTCTTCTCCCCAGGGTGACACAGGATCATTGGGGCCCGCAGGACTTCAAGGAGAGGACGGAGAGAGGGTAGGAAGATATGAAAAACATTTTGTTAATGATTCCAGGCACCCCTCACAACATGTCACTCCTTAATCGTAAGTAATATTCACATCCTTGGTGTGTCTGTGTGTGTTTCCAGGGAGACGACGGAGACATTGGACCAAGGGGTCTCCAGGGTGAATCAGTGAGTGTTTCCATGACAACATCTGATTTTAAATCTCTCCCGCTTTCCCCTATCTCTGTTATAAGCAGCATCCCAGAATGCATCTGTGTATCCATCTGTAGCACTTCAGTTACCTTCACACCTGCTGTTTCTCAATGATACCTGACGTAGTTATCTTCACTGTTATTATGTTTAAGGCAGTGATAGTAGATGCAGCCAACTGCTGCCAGGATCACAGGTTTATTGTGCAATATTTCTAGAAAAACATTATTTGTTTCTAATGACTATGTTTGGATCGTACTTGGAACTTCGTCAGATCAGAATGTTTAAAAAGTGGAAAGCACACCCATATGTATACTTCATGATAACCAATAGGCAGACCAGCTCTATGGTGGCAGGTGTGGTTCTTCCCCAGGTTGACAGAACATCCAAAAATAATTCAGTTAACAATTCCATATATTACAGAGAAAGATGTATTGCCATACTTCTAAATATCTGACATATATATTATATGGAAACAGAAGATACATAATGTGCTGTATATCAGAAATGACATCGCTGTTTTTTCTGATAGCCGTGCACTATGTGAGGTTGGTATTATGTATTGTCCTTAACAAGTAAATACCATCTTTAGACTGAAATGTAATTGGATGGTTGTAAACTCCTCATTAATAACTCAACGCCATGAATAAGTAAGAGTAAATAATTACATGGTCAACATTCTTAATGTAATCAAATACATTTTGCACGGGTTGAGCTAATAAAATGATCCTTTTATAACTCAGGTACCCCATTCAACAACAAAAACATGACCAACCCATACCTAGAACTGGCCTGATGCCTTCTATAATATAATGGTGTCTGACAAATAAATGAAAATCTTTTTTCTTCACATCAAAAATGAAATGATTGTTTGTTGGCACACACTCAAGAATGAAGCCAAAGCCATCGCCTGGGCAACCCATTTATTTGTATCCACCCACACACCACCCACATGAGGACAAAACTAAAATAAATTATTTGTTGTGTTATTCATCATTCTTTAATTAATAAAATGCCCATTTCTATAAATACCCTAATTCAAAATAATAACTCCCTTCAACAGACATTCTTTTTTATAAAAGATAGTGCGCCATTTTACAAATGATTACAATCAGTCAATATAGTTTGTTACAAATGTATGTTATTTATCAATCAGTCATCATTACAATATATTAAACAGTTTACTTCTGCGTTTTAATTTGTCTGTTTATCCCAATGCTGAAATTGCTGCTTTAGTTATTGGCTTAATATTCTATATTGTGATTTATTCTAGAATCTAATAGTTTAAATATATCATTTATGACTTTGATTGACTGACTAATATTGGCGTGTCTTTGTGTGTGTGTGTTTTTTCGTCTCTCTCTAGGGACCTCGTGGTTTGCTCGGACCCAAAGGTCCCCCTGGGATCTCCGGACCTCCTGTGAGTAAAAACTATTTTGAACCACATTGTGGCGCTGGTATATTTAGTAGCATTGTTTTATCCATCTGTAACCACTGAAAACCCACGGCACCTCCTGAAACAACACGCTGAGACCTGATATAGAGACGGGGACACCCAGTGATCTAAAAATGTAACATGTAATGTTCCCACAATCACCTCAAAACAAAACAAACACAGAGAATCACACAGCATTTTGGCAGCCAAGTCCCAAGTATCCATTTAACACTTTGTACTAGAGTTGTTTGGTGACAGTGGTTGAGGTCTGCCCTTAAAAGAGCACTGCACTGATTTAGCATGGCACTGAGATAACATGGTCTGACAAAAGCAGAACAACCAAACACATTGTCTATTCCATTCCACACATTCTTCTTCCACAACATTTCGTTTGGAGTTTTCGGTGTGCTATGCAACAAGCTCGTGCTCACTTCTTTTTAACTCTACACCTTCAAACTCTTCAGCCCAAATCAACTCTCCCTCGAGATGTATCTGACTTCAACCAGCGCCCTCTGGACACACGAAAGGCTTTATACAATTGTATTCCACAAGACCTGTAAACAGACATTTATGTGTAACATTGGGAGAGTCCCCCTTTAAGCAGCAAGCTTTAAGTACCTGCTGATTCCTATAAATCTAAAGATACACGCTAGCATTATCACCAAAACCCTTCGCTGTAAGTGACATTTAGCGAGTATACTTTCCGCTGCAAATGTGCGTGGATAGAAGCCTTTACCATAGTGAGTGAGTTATTATTATTGAGGTGTAATTATATTGTGAAATATTTGTGTTAATTCGTGACAGATTCTGTTCAGAATTCCACTCTGATTTTTCCTTCTCACCCTCTTTTCTTCTCAGGGTGTGCGTGGAAATGACGGGCCTCACGGTCCCAAAGGAAACTTGGTCAGTGTTGGTCATAACTTATCTACCATGTTAACATGTAACCATGTTATTGAATCCGCAGATGATTAATATCAGCACCCATTATTCTTCCTGTCTCTCAGGGTCCCCAAGGAGAGCCAGGACCTCCAGGTCAGCAGGGAACCGGAGGAACTCAGGTGAGACAGCTGGGAACGCATATGTACAATTAACACAGTAATGTTGAGAGTGAGTATTCATTCATTCATTTCTTTTTGCAGGGAATGCCCGGACCTCAGGGAGCCCTCGGACCTCCAGGAGAGAAAGTAAGCAATACAAAATAATATATATAAAGTGACTCTGGATCAAAAATACAGAATGATACAGGAAGTAAACTCAGTTAAAGGAAATACATTAAACAATCAACATTTATAGAATAGAATCATCAGGATAAACTCATTGAGTGTACATTCTTTAGCCCCCTTCATTCATGATGGAGAGAGGTACGTGAGTGTGTCCAAAAATATGTAATGGCAGATTTTCAAGTATAAGCGATTTCTGAATTAGTTCATGTATTAAAAAAAGCTATTCTATTCTGAAAAATAGATTAGATATCTAATCACGTGCACTGTGCACCCCATGGTTCTTGCATTGAGAAGGAGCAGGGTTGCTTGCTGATTATTCTTTAATGATGTCTGTATGTATTGCCGACTTTTAAAGCAGCAGTCAATTTGTGAAGTATGCTCATTTGCTTTCTTGACAAAAGTGAAATGGGGTTAGGGTGTTTCAATCAGGAGAGACGGTTTTGATGGAAGAATACATATTTATTGCCAGGAATAAACTAATGAATGTAATGGAGTTTTGGCGATTAGGCCCCGTTGTGCAGGAGTATCATTCGGGAGGGGAGAACCGATCCGATGAAACCCCCCCCCGGGGTCTAGACACTGGTGGTGGTGAATGGATGGTTAGGTCCGGTCTGAAGGGGAGGGGCTTAGCTTGACCCTGGATTCAGAGGGACAGGAGGTGAAAAGGAGTGGAGGAGGGTTGCGTTGAGTCACCTGGAATGACAGCTGTCAGAGGGGAGAGCAGATTTAAAAGGTTTAGTGGAGCGCTATGATAGGCTTGTGAGAATAGAGCGAAGTGATTGGTTAAACTGTGGAGTGACGCCCCCGATCACTTATTGAGAGGAGAGAGAGTAGTAACATGGAAATAGTAAATGAATGAGTAAAGAAGGTCTTCCTGGTTGAACTTGCACTGAGCTTCATTAGAAGGATAAATCATTAATATGTCCACTAAATATGAGGCTAACGCCAGCAGCTGGTTAGCTTAGCATAATGTTTCAAAACAGGGGAGAAGAGCTAACCAAAAAGATCCACATAGCAGCACCTCTAAAACTCACCAGTAAACACTGCCCCGGTGGTAGTAGCCAAAAACTGTGAACAATTCATTATATTCAAATGACATTTTCTCTAATGTCACATTAAGCATAGAAAGAAAGTGGCTACGGCAAATGTTACACTTTATGAATTGGAGAATTGCAGAATGCTGATCCCTGATCTGTGCAGCCATTAAGATATCTGGTTAGCTTGGTAGCTACAATGTTTTTGGCACAAGTCATTCTTCTCATAGTGTTTTAGGACAGTTACCAAACAGTTACAGGTGCAGTCCCAACACTCTCACTCATGACCACCTTGTCTTCTCTTCCAGGGACCCACAGGAAAACCAGGTCTTCCAGGAATGCCCGGAGCTGACGGTCCTCCTGTATGTTTGTCTCTTCAATTTTAATTTAATTGATATCATTCAAATGTAATACGTTGAATACACAAGCACTGGATGTCCTTCCTGATGTCCTTCATGATGCTTTCACTTTACAGGGTCACCCAGGAAAGGAGGGGCCTTCTGGCACCAAAGGAAACCAGGTGGGTGTCAATCATATCCCCATCACACCAGGTCCCTTCCAGCTAACAATATATATTATATTAAGGTATTCATTTTCTTAATTTGCCCTTCTATTTTTGTCCTTCTCCAGGGTCCCAACGGTCCCCAGGGAGCTATCGGCTATCCTGGCCCTCGTGGCATCAAGGTCAGTACAGTTGATTGTTTTCAGTTAGTCGTGAGCACACTGTTTTTTTTATTGTGAGGTTTTTATTTGCTGTTTAAATTACCTTCAGATTTGAATAGTATTATAATGTAGAATAACAGTGTATTGACCATGCAATGTGTTGATTGCAGGGAGGTCAAGGAATCCGTGGACTGAAGGGCCACTGGGGAGAGAAGGTAAGTGATTCCTGACATTCAAAGATTTCAAGACACTCACAAATTATCTTGATTGATAAAACTTGATTATCAATTGTATTATGTCCATTTTTCATTGTCACAATAGCAAGGTATTAGAAAACAAAACAGCCATGGTCACATCTTCACAATCTAAAATATCATAAGTCTGATTACGATATTTAGCTAAACATGTTCTGTATGTTCTTTTTCGTGTTTCTAGGGTGAAGATGGTTTCCCTGGAATTAAGGGAGATTTCGGTGCCAAGGGAGAGAGGGTAAGATGCTTTGATTGATCAGTTGATTTATACAATAATTTATGGATCTTAATTGTCATTTTTCTATAAAGGCCATTTTTCCTGCGTTATTACTCTTGGCCTATTTTCTGTTGATTTATTCTCATATTTTGCTTTGTCTCCTGCTGACAGGGTGAGCTTGGAGTGTCAGGGCCCAGAGGAGAGGATGGTCCTGAGGGGCCAAAGGGTCGCGTCGGGCCCCCTGGCGAGCTCGGACCACTTGGATTGGTTGGAGAGAAGGTACATCCAGTTCAATAAGGACACAATTACATGATTGCTCTCAATAATATGAGAAAAGTTACTGATTCTTAGGGGAATCGTTTCCTAATGTATGTATTATTTCACATAACATCACGCATCAAGTAAATGTGTCCTCTACTGGATTATAGGTGTTTCGTTTAGCAAGTGCCAATTCTTCCCACATATTTACCCAAGTAGTCCCATGTTCTTTAAATAAGGTCAAGGTCATCTTTATGATCAAATATTAAGCAGGAAACCTAGCTGTGCTGCCCTCTTGTGGTTGTCCAAGTTTATGCATTTAAGTGGAAAAAAAAACATTGTATACAATCATTTATAATTACAATACGTATAAGTCATTTATTTGTACTTAAGTGTTTTTTATTCTTTGTGTGAGTCTACTAAACCTTTGACATTTTGCTTTATAAATGTTATTGTATGAGCTCCCATGTTCTCTTCTTATCATGGCACATATTTCATTATGAGCTAATCAACATTAACAGTCTTGTAATGGGATTTTTTGTGTAGCAGTTTGGTAACATTTAAAAACAATTACAGATTATGTGCTCACTCTTGTTAAATGATCATGATTAAAAATGTCCTCATTTCAGGGTAAACTTGGTGTACCTGGACTTCCTGGATATCCCGGAAGACAAGGACCCAAGGTAAGACAAAAACACACGCAGCATCAACCATCAGACACTTTTATTCCTCAGTATGGTGAGAAACAGTCCTAATATTTATTTGTATTTAGGGATCTCTTGGATTCCCAGGATTCCCCGGCTCAAACGGCGAGAAGGGAACAAGGGTAAGTCAATGCCTCATTCGAAGATTTTTCTTTTTAATTTAAAGGGGACCTATCATGCAAATGCATTTTTTGATGTCTTTTATACATAAATATGTGTCCCCGGTGTGTCGGGGAACTCACGCAGCGTCAGAAAATAAAACCCTTTCTCTTTTCCTCTGTACCCAAATCTTTTAAAAACGGGGGTACAACGAGCGGATACAGATTTGCTGCCGATATTACGTCAAATCGGTGGCGGACCCACAGAAAGTTGCTATCAGAAACAACGCCTGACGTGTTTTGGACGTAATCTCGTCTTTGTTTACATTAGCAAGCCTCGCTAACACTCAGAGCTAACCTGTACTGAAGAGCACATGTGTTTAAAAAGCAGGAAATAAAAAAAGGAACTCACCTTGTGATAAACCTGCAAGAGAAAAAGCATTTGAGCTCCATACTGTTTCAGAAATAATCCTTGATGTGGTTTAGAACAGGATGGCGTTTCATCACAGCAGAATTTTACTTTATCTCCGGTAGAATTCTGATCAGGCATTAGCTCCGCCTCCTCTTTTTTTTTTTTTTCAAGCTAAGAACCCAAAATCTGCGTTTCTCTAATGTGGCTTTCACACCAACGCGGTTCCAGGAACGGTTCGGAGCTAGAGCCTGAAAAGCACAATTTTTTCCTGTTCACACCGCCTCTGAAAACCCGGTGCTTTTCAAGCACCAAAACATTGTCAGTCTAGAAGCAAGAACCGCATACGTCACGCTTACGTCGGAGGCAGGGGCAGGTGCAGGGGCGGGATCAACCTGAGCAATAACAGTTTATGGCGAGTAGTACGGCAAATGAAAGTTGTAACAAGCAGTAGCGCTGAGCAAAGTGACTAGAACGCAACCACACACTTATTAAAAAAAAACACACTTTATAAAGTCAGGCAACACTAACCAGGCTTAGTGTGATTCTGTTTCTTTGTACCTTACTTTGACCATCCGTTCGCTGTTATTGATCATTGTGGAGAGCAGGCAGACGTTTTGTTTTGTATTATAGCAGCTATCGGATGGAATCAATGCATGGGCTGCACAGGTTGTCATGACTCATGTCCGACTATCACAAGTAGAATCATAATGAAAAATGCGCCGGTAAAATGTGCCGGCTTATGCCACAATAGGATAGCAACAAGTAGTCAAGATAGTCAGTTTAGCTTTGGTTGCTATGCTAACATCACCCATTTTATACCAGAGAAACTTTCATAACAGCTTTGTGATGCCAAACAGCGGGCAGCACTGCAGCGGTCGGTAAATGCTGCAGAAACACATTCATAAACAATGAACCACGGCACTCTGGAGAAAAGTACAAGGGTTGAGAAGTAGTTATTTAATTGAATCTGGCTTCGTATGATTAAAAGCAACACGATCATCGACCCGACGCCATTGGGGAGAAAATCAGCGACGTAAACGGTGACGTCATGACGCAGCAGCGGCAGCACCAGTCGGGCTCTGGGCGGTGTGAACAAAACTGGGGGCTGAAAAGAAAAAACCGGTTCCGAACCAGAAAAGCTCCAGCACGGAGCTAGAACGGGAACCGCGTCGGTGTGAAAGGGGCATAACAGGGCTGCAAAAGAGGGGTATGAGCAGTATGAGGCATGGCTACAATGGGTGATCTGTTTGGTATTTTAAGCAAAAAAACTTCACAGACATGTTTTGTATAGATATGGCCCTACAATATATTTTTCCAATATAGCATAATAGGTCCACTTTAAAAAAAAAAATTCAAGTGGAATTCACTGTGTGGAAGAAAGTAGCTGATTGATTATCTCTACGCATATCTGTCTGATGTGGCATCTTAACTTTATTTAAAAAATGTAAAGCGTGTTCCTCCCTGTTTTCTTATGGTCTTTTTACTGTGAAGAGCTTTATTTTGAATGATAAAAATAGATATTGTTTCTGTGATGACTGTTCACATAAAAATGAGCTACTTTCAGTATCTAGAGAAAGACTTGAAGAAGAAAAAAAGCTCTTTAGTGAGATCTGTAAATATTTAATAATTCCTTATGCGAAGATAACATTTGTAGGCATGTTTTTGCTCCTTCTTTACATTTGTTGTACCACTTCTAAAGCATTGTTTATGCAATGAGATGTATGTATAATGGTGGGGTTTTAATTAAAATGTGGAATGGGCAGAATGTTCGGCATAACAAAGAAATACTAAATGAAATGAATGAATGATATGCTAGACCTATTTCCCCTGTAGATATAGATGTTGTATAGTACAATAAAGTATTGTATAGATCATTTCTGCTCGGCTTAGTCTGTATTTGTTTTCTGTTTTTCTTCAGGGTCTTGCTGGCAAATCAGGGCCAAGAGGACAAAGAGGACCAACGGTACCATTTTACATTTATTCATCTAAATGTTAGGTTTTATTGCAAAAGGACAAATGTCTTTACTCTGTCTTCAACTCAAGATGTTGAGCAAAGATGGACAAAAAGTGTTTTTGTCTGTTTGTGGTATTTAAGAATAACTTAGCACTGGGTTGAAACACACTGCCCTCTCCAGTTGAAAGCTGAAACAAGTTGTGGTTTCTTTCTTTGCTTTGTTGCACCTGTAACCAGAGCCACCAGTAATTTCATGGAGTGAGAGTATTCATTTATTCTTTAAGCACTGATTTAATATGATTTGATTATTTAACATCAAGGTTATCTGGGATAGCATCATTTCCATATTGATTCTAACTTATTCTAATCTCTTTGTGTGCGTTCAGGGCTCCAGAGGGCAGAGAGGACCGAGGGGCGCCACTGGGAAAGGAGGAGCAAAGGTTTGTCTACGCTGTGAATTTCTCCAGATTTCAGAATGAAACTGTGTCTACAGGTGCATTGTGGGTGTCATTTTCATGATTTTGATAAAGATTATTGTTGATGATCATGTCTTGTTATGGACCATTGTCTATTATTCACTTATCTGCCTGGAACAGTCCAACATTCAAACCTCATCGTAAATGTGCCATTGTTAGCCAATGAGCTATTCTGTAATCTTTGGGTAGGTTATTACATTTTAGTGGCTGGATAAGGTCATCAATTAAGTACTTCAGTGTAACACAACACAATACAATGTGGTACAAAATAATGAAATAAATATATACATTTATTTCAGACGTCGTAGAAGATATATAAGTGGCAGAAGTATAATTATTAGTCATGATTGCAAGTTTTGTTTTGCTTAAAGCCATCTTTCCATTTTTTGTCTTAGTTAGCAAAAGATATGAACAAATTGCAGTTTGTTATCCAAAATATTATATCTTATTAACTGTGTTGTTGTTTTGTTTCTTGTTAGGGAACGTCAGGAAGTGATGGCCCTCCTGGTGGTTCTGGAGAGAGGGTGAGTTCCTAAACTTCATCACACAAAGACATTTTAAAGATTTTTGTAACACAATATTGAGAATTGCTATATGTTCTGATCATATCCTATCTTATCATCTCAACAGGGATTGCCTGGACCTCAGGGAGCCAATGGTTTCCCTGGACCAAAGGGACCTCCTGTAAGAATATGTTTGATTTAAAATGTATGATAGATAATAGTAATAATACATTATTTAGATGCGCCTTTCAAAGCACCCGAGGACGCCTTACAATTCAGAAAATACTCTTAAAAACTGAACAAAAGGACAGTAACAGAGATGTTTGGCCACTCGTTAGAGAATTGTAGTACAGTGTTACAACATAGTGTTGTGTTTATCAAATCAAATCAAGCTTTATTTATATAGCATCTTTCATACACAATGGTAACACAAAGTGATTCACAAAAACGCATAGACAATTCACAAATAGAAACAATACTAACCCCCCATAAAAAAAAAATATATATATACATTTATATATATGTATGCATACACACTGTATATATATATACATACGTATATACATATATACACATAAACACATACAAACATACACATTTCAACATACACACAATACAAACAATTCAAAGAAGAATGAAATATAACAGGTTCATGTTGCCTCTTTTTCTTGTAGTAAAAGCTCTTGCATGTTGGATTAAATGAATGTTAATGGTTGATTGGTGTTTCCTCACAGGGACCCCCAGGAAAGGACGGGCTGCCTGGACACCCTGGGCAGAGAGGAGAAGTTGTAAGTTGTCTTTTTTACTACTCTTAAAGATAGATCAGCTGTTTAAGCAGATGCAATTCAGATTCTTCCCTGTTTCTAGTCATGGCTTTCTTTGAGGATGCAGCAATTCCAAAATATACCTAAAGAAGGTCAAACAGACTGAAATATTTTGGGTTAGGGTAATAAATGTACAAGCAGTAAGCACCCATTCTCATTTTTAATCACGGATGCAGTCACTCAGAAATGCTATTTACCGTTAGCTTCTGATGCTGTGGGGAAAAGTATGAATAATTTGTCAAATAAAAGTAGTTTTTTTTGTTAACTGAACTTCTCTCCCTAAGGGTTTCCAAGGTAAAGTGGGTCCACCTGGGCCTCCTGGAGTCGTTGGACCTCAGGTGAGTTTTCCCATTCTTGATGCAGAATGTTCCTATAATTTATACAGTTAATCAACACAACTTTTCTTCTCTTTTCTTTTTTCTCACAACATCTTGTTTCCTATCTGCATCCTACCAGGGTCCATCAGGAGAGACCGGCTCCCTGGGCGAGCGCGGCCACTCTGGACCCCCAGGTCCACCTGGAGAGCAGGGACTTTCTGGTCCCTCAGGCAAAGAGGGCACCAAGGGAGACCCTGGACCCACCGGAGGCCTCGGTAAAGACGGTCCCGCAGGACTGAGAGGTTTCCCCGGAGAGAGAGGACTGCCTGGAACCCCTGTGAGTATGACCACGGGAAATACCCATCATGCTTATTATTATCATTATTTTAGCAGTACATTTACCTTTTAGATACAAATCCCTTGCATTGTTGAGGTGAAGGATTACTGCTAAATCCTTTCTTCTGTTTCCTTCCAGGGAGGTGGAGGACTGAAGGGAAGCGAAGGACCTGCCGGACCCCCTGGACCTGCTGTACGTTCAAAATCATTCTAACACCCTAACCCCAATTTACGGAATAAAAAGAAAACAGTGATATAGTTTGTCCACTCAGTTAAAATACTAACAACAAATATTTTAGGTTATTTTGAGATAGGAAATATGTATTTGTATGAGTTTCTTGTCCCCTTTATTGTGGGTTGTCTAATATTTCAATATGGGTTGTGGTTATACCATGTAATAATAATAAAATACTCAGTCCACCCATCTAAAGAATGAAGTATTAACTTGTCTTTATGATATTGTTCCTGCCTAGGGGTCTCCTGGTGAGAGGGGACTAGCTGGCACTTCTGGACCTGTTGGACCTCCTGGCAGACCAGGTCCCCAGGGGCCTCCTGGAAGCTCTGGAGAGAAGGGAGTTACTGTGAGTTTCTGGAAATATTCAGTTGTGCATTTAACAAAACATTCTGAATAAGATTCCAAAGACATTGTCCATCCAGTCAAAGACAAATGACCAACAATTGCTTGTCCTCTTTGTTCTATTCCTCCTGTTCAGGGTGAGAAAGGCCCTATTGGCCCGGCCGGTCGTGATGGAGTGCAGGGTCCCGTGGGTCTGCCCGGCCCTGCTGGATCACCTGGAGTATCTGGAGAGGACGGAGACAAGGCCAGTAGCTCTAAGACTCCAAAACGTCCTTTTAAAAATCACCATTGTTACCGTAGTATTCTACTATGAACAGGGAGCTTTGTCTCAAACGTGTCTCCGCTGTAACGTGATGTGTCTTTGTTGATGCAGGGAGAGGTTGGAGAGCATGGACAGAAGGGCGGCAAGGGGGGCAAAGGAGAGCATGTGAGTGACACTGACCTCCAGCAAGCCCTAAGATGTATTTCTGGTTGGAAATCATTTGTTTGAATCACTGCTGTTTTGTAGTTTTGCTCATTGTTTGTATGTTTGTTTGTTGGTAGGGTCCTCCTGGTCCACCCGGGCCAATGGGTCCTGTCGGTCAGCCTGGTCCTGCTGTGAGTACAAAATGTCATTCTTTGAAGACAAAACAGACAGTTTGCTGTGCCAGTTGGTTGTACGTGTTCCTCATTGTATACAAATGTATTATACTGCATTTGGTGCCAGTTTAGTTTACTGTTAAGAAAAGGAGGTTGTCAAACTCTAAGTTCTTCTATTTATTACAAACATTGAGGTTATGAAATACATAAGCAGGGGAGAATTTTCCCAAGACAACCACTATTGTGTTGCAGCTTTTAATGTAAAATATGAATATTTAGCTAAATAAGGAAAACTTTAAACACTATGCAGATCATTACTGAACATTTTATCGCGAGTCTTCAAGTCAAGTTTTCAATGTATAGATGAAGTTTTCTGCGAATGTATTGTTATCTCTTATTTGATCAAGCTTTACATCTGTTTTCTTCTCCTGTGGTGCAGGGTGCTGATGGTGAGCTCGGAGCAAGAGGCCAGCAGGGGCCGTTTGGAGCTAAAGGAGACGAAGGAACCAGAGGATTCCCAGGGGCCCCAGGTCCCATCGGACTTCAGGTATCATAAAAGACTTCAATCACTTCATCCAAATTGTTATTAAATCTGTATTAAAGACTTTATTTTGATAATCTTTTTAGCTAAACCTTTCTGCTAAGTTGCTAAGCTAAACGTATTCTTTGTTTGTCACCTCTGTCCCGCAGGGCTTGCCAGGACCACCAGGTGAGAAGGGAGAGACGGGAGATGTTGGACCTCTGGTGAGTTTCAGAAATACATAACATCAATCATAATGACTGCTTCAGTAATTAATTCCATAAAAATACAATCATAAATGTTGATAAAAGCGTGAGCCTCCTTGTGTTTCCAGGGTCCTCCAGGCCCTCCAGGACCCCGTGGCCCTGCTGGACCCAGCGGTGCTGACGTAAGTGTGATCAGCTCTTATTTACAAAATGACAACAAATATTGAATCTACAAAACAGCAACATTCTTGGGTATGGTTTTTGGACAACACTTACAAACCAGTTGAAGTAGGGTGAACTGGTTATTTACTAGTCATTTTTAGGTAGGTAAATAAAAAAGTCGCTTTTTTCTGATGATGATTGTTCAAATGAATTGTTTTTGTTTTTTTAGGGTCCTCAAGGTCCTCCTGGTGGTTTGGGTAATCCTGGACCTCTTGGAGAGAAGGTACATTTAACTTACTTCGAAGCATTATTTCTGCATGAGTTTGATAGTTTTCAAATGAATAACACACTGATATCATTTTAATTTGTCCTAACACCTAAAATAAAATACTGTTTGCTGCATAGGGAGAGGCTGGTGAGGGCGGACCACCTGGAATTGGAGGAGAGCCCGGAAAGAAGGTGAGCGGTTGAGTGTCTGACCCTAACACCTGCTGGATCACGATATCGAGAGACTGTGGATTTACTGACTAGAACAATTGTATCAATGAGTTAACATGAGATCTGTGCTCCTGTCGACAGGGTCCCCGTGGAGAGCGTGGAGAAAAGGGAGAGTCCGGACAACCTGGAACATCTGGACCTGCCGGAGGACGAGGACGAGCCGGAGATGACGGGCCCAAAGGAAACCCCGTAAGACACCCACCATGAAACAAACACAACCATTCACACAATGATTGACACAGAGACTCAAACGATTCTTCTTACTCCTAATCGTAAGGTCATAAAATCTGATTTTGAACTCCATTGTTTAAGTAGAGTTTTGTTTTGTCTCTAATGTCAGGGTCCTGTTGGTTTCCCTGGTGATCCTGGTCCCGCTGGTGAGCTTGGACCCAGAGTGAGTACCCTGTTTTGAAGAATACAGCATTCTGTTATTTTAGTTTTCAAAGCTATGTTATGATGTGACTGCGCGCCTCCAACAATTCCGCTTGTTCCACACACTTGTTGTCTTTTGAACTTAACTGAACATAAAGGAAAAATGACTAACCCTGATATGCTTTACTTCAGGGTCAAGATGGTGCCAAGGGAGAGAGAGGAGAAGATGGTGAACAAGGAGAATCTGTAAGTCAAAAAATGCAACAATGCAGATATGTCAGTTAAGTGTAATGAAAGTGTCTCAGGGTCCTCAATCTGCTGTCTTTGCCTCCCAACGCAGGGCTCCCCTGGACCTTCTGGTGAGAACGGACCCCCCGGCCCCCTGGGAAAGAGGGTAAGGTCACCAACCTCATTTAACGTGCACCTGTTCCTAACACAACGTTTTTAAAAGTGCACAGTGGCTGTCATGAATTCAATCATGCATCCATTCTGCTGTTGTATTGTGATGTAGAGTTATGTCAGCCTATGTCATATGCTTTGAGAATTGAGAGACAAATAACTGCGATACAAGATATTATTGTCATTTTTTAAATAAATGTAGGATCTCGTAAAAATTCTATCATAATAATGCAAGAACATCCGTTCAAAGATAAATTATCTTTTATTCTTAAGAATATTCACATTGGTGTTGAAATGTGAAAATATATATATATATTCTAAATAAATAAAAAACGAAATACAACCAAAAACTATTTATAAAATGGACTCTGGCTCTGTTTACAAAATGGCCTCTTCTCCACATTGCCCAGGTCTGATAATAGTAGCCAAAACCCTGCTGTTTATTCTGGCATCATGTTACCTAAAATGTTGTGACGTCAACATGTAAAGAAACACGCATGTAAACACAACAGGCAATAAGGAAGCCAGCTTAGTATATATATTATTGATGTAATATATAATTTACAATAAGATGATAACATGACTATCAAGACAGGCTTATAGTACTTGGTAGAGCTTCAGTAGTCTATATCGGTTTGTTGAAAGGCTATATTTGACAGACAAGTAATTCAATTTGATTACAGAATATAGTCGTCATTTTTGTATTCATCTTTTTCCAGGGTCTTGCTGGAACAAGAGGACCAGAGGGACGTCACGGAGAGAAGGGAACTAAGGTGAGTCCAGAGCCTTTATCTCCATTATTAAGCTCCCTCTCTAACTCATGCCAATCAATACAAATATACTGTCAATGTACCAAATTGGCATTAGATCGCTGTCACACTTCCCGGTAACGATCATTTCCGTCATTGATCCCAGGTGAAATCACATACTCTGCCTTTTGCCTGAGAATATATGTATTTTTCTCTGTGATATATTTATACCACCAGAGTTGAAGGTAATGCAACAACTTTTTAAAAGATGTTTAACCATCTTTGTTGTCATCATCGTTCACAGGGAGACTCAGGTGCTGTCGGGGCCCCAGGAAAAACTGGCCCCGTCGGCCCTCAGGGTCAACCAGGAAAACCAGGAACAGAAGGTCTCAGAGGACTCCCCGGATCAGTGGTCAGTAAAGAGTTGGATTTCATTTTGTAGACACAAAGCCATTTCCATTAGTAGCAAGTATATTTCATATCTGTTGGATGTCCACCACCTTCCTAAAGTGTTTCTAACTGTGTTTCAGGGTGAGCAAGGAACTCCAGGACTTGCTGGACAGAAAGGACCAGCTGGACCTCTTGTAAGATCCAAATGCCTTTTCGTTTTTGTGTTTACTTCTACTCTGCACTTGGACATAGAGTGCATTCAGTGCCCTTCTCGTCCAATACTGCCACTTCCCTCTTCCTGTCTTCCATCTCTCTCACCCTCTCTCATCATCAACTGTTTCTTTTGTTTCTGATCTCCTGAACTCTTCCTTCTCTTCTTCTATTCCTGCAGGGACCTCCCGGTTTGCCTGGCCTTCGTGGAGACCCCGGTGGCAAGGGAGAGAAGGGACACCCAGGTCTTATTGGTCTCATTGGACCCTCAGGAGAGCAGGGAGAGAAAGGAGACAGAGGTCTTCCTGGGCCTCATGGATCTCTCGGATCTAAAGGAGAAAATGTAAGTCTGACCTCTTTATCTTTCTTATCGAGGGCCAGATCAACCAGCATGATTGACCTTCAATTGTATTTAGTTGTTCTTTATCTAATGTTAGACATGTCTTGTGTTTTATTACAGGGAATGGCTGGAGCCTCCGGACCCTTCGGCCCTGCTGGTCCTCCTGGTCTGCCTGTGAGTGACTGCACTTTATGTCCCATGAACATCTCATTTCCTGTTTCTTGTGCCCTAATAAATGACAGCAGAAAAACACTCAACAATGGTCACCATCATTAAAATAATGCCTCATATCTTTTCCAGGGTCCTCAAGGTGTCAAAGGCGCCAAGGGTTCTTCTGTGAGTATACTTTAAGGATGTTTGTACCTAAAAAATGAAGGAAATGTTCTACAAAAAGTTAATGAACTGGGACCTGTTGCAATAATGCTTCTTGAATCTTTCCCCTCTCTGCTGTGTTTAGGGAGGATCTGGTGCAAAGGGAGAAAAGGGTGTACAAGGACCTGCTGGAGCCCCTGTAAGTACTTATGTAAATCACTACTTTGTGTTGGGGAAATATTTTCCTAGACCCATAACTTTGACCCAGTTTATCAGTGTTTTGTCTTCCTGTTCCTGTCTGTTGGCGTCAGCTGATAGAGGTGTTATTGTTCCTGGTTGATCTTGTTATGCACAATGTTGATTATTCAGAATCAGAATCAGAATACCTTTATTAGTCCCACAGAGGGGAGATGTACATTGTTACAGCAGAAAAGAGCCAAAGACAGCTTAATGTAAGAAGCATGCATAAAAAAGTATTAAACAATTATAATTAAAAAAGTTACACAATTTACAAAATACACATCCTGTAACAGTTCTGAGTATTAGCAGCCAGGTAGGCTATATATTGCACAGCTATTAACGTCTCCATTGTTCAGAAGTTTCCATCATACTTTGCACCTCAATGTTGATTGCCAGCTAATTGATTATGATGTTCACTCCACAGGGCCCACCAGGAGAGGTCATTCAGCCCCTGCCCATCCAGAGGAGTCCCAAGTCCAAGCGCTCCATCGACGCCAGCCAGATGCTCTCTGAAACCGACTCAGAAATGCCTGCATCTGACGCCACTGGCGCTGAGTTCCTGATGGGCAGCGAAGGCATGGAGGAGATCTTCGGCTCTCTCAACTCACTGCGACAGGAGATCGAGACCATGCGTTTCCCTCTGGGCACCCAGGACAGCCCCGCCCGCACCTGCCAAGACCTGCACCTCAGCCAGCCAGACCTCAAAGACGGTAAGGGGATTGTCCCACACAGTAGAGATAGTTCTTAACTTAACTGGAGTCTTAAGAGATGTAACAGATGTTTTGACCTTGTCTCTCTGCTGCCCCCCTCAGGAGAGTACTGGATTGACCCTAACCAGGGCTGTTCCAGAGACTCCCTCAAGGTCTTCTGTAATTTCACCAGCGGAGCAGAGACGTGCCTGTACCCGAGCACGAGCATCAACTCGGTCAGTCCAGCAAATCAGTCTCCTAAAAATCCTGTGAAATGTAAACACTAAGCAAGTTATAAAACCATTAAACTAAACAGTATTAAGAGTACAGTATGTTGTATCAGACCCCCCTCTTTCCAGAGCAGGGGTGTCCAAACTACGGCCCGGGGGCCAAATGCGGCCCGCGGACCATTTTGAATCAGCCCTCAGCAAATTATAATATAATATATCATTATAAGTATAATGGAATATGGCCCACACCTGAAACTTGTGCTTGTCTTATATTGTACTTCTTAAATATATATTTAAAACATATATTACACAGTAGAATTAATGTGTTAATAAGCCCACTTTTCAAATAAATTCAGTCAATTAAAGTTGGAAACATTTTCTAACAAATTTAAGTTGATAAGAAAAAAGCCCAATAACCTATTTGTATAACAAGCTTGAAATACACCCTTCCTATTTCTCCTTATTATAAGCAATCTGAAGCTTTTGTTTTAAGGGATGAGATGCAACCCTGTTTGTAACAGAATGAATGAAACCCTATGGAGAGCTTTGATGTAGGCTGTTTTTTTCTTAAGGCATTTTCAAGTATCAAGCATAATTTACCTATATTTGTTTGATTTTGCTAACTTATAATTGAACTTATGAGGCAATATACTGTAACTCACCTCTAGCGAGTGGCCCAGCCCTTCATATATTTTTCTGTATGTGGCCCTCGGTGAAAAAAGTTTGGACACCCCTGTTCTAGAGACTCATTTTCTTGGCTGTTCTTAATTTCCCACATAAGCTGTATTTATTTGTATTGACAATGTTGACATTTCTTGCGGCAGGTGAAGATGAGCTCCTGGGACAATGAGACTCCAGGATCCTGGTACAGTCAGTTCACCACTGGTAGTAAGGTTAGTAACCATCTGTCACATTAAGACAGATAGCAAACCTTGTGTTTATAGTAACAAAAAAAAGAATTCTTAACTTGATTACCGTGTATTGGTTCTCACAATCTGTCTTCTCTTTCTGACTTCTTTTCCCATCCTATTATCTGTTTTCCCCTCCTCAAACGCCCATCAAATACCTCCCCTCCCCTCCTCTTCACCCTGCCCCCCCCCCCCCCCTACCAGTTCTCCTACGTGGACTCTGCTGGTGAGCCGGTGGGCGTGGTCCAGCTTGGCTTCCTGCGTCTCCTGAGCGTTCAGGCCCGCCAGAACCTCACCTACCACTGCCACCGCTCAGTGGCCTGGGCCGACCGCAGCGCCAAGAACAACCACAACCGGGCGCTGCACCTCCAGGGGGCCAACGACGAGAGGCTGAGCTACGAGACCAGCCCCTACATCAAGGCCCTGGTCGATGGCTGCTCTGTGAGTGACACGGAAAACTGATGATGTCCTGTTTAACACATATGAATGATTATTGGTTTACAATGTAGAATATCTTTAAAACATGAAATATTCCATGCTGCACTATATAACAACAATAACAACAACAACAACAATAACCCATTTCTGAACAGTCTGCCATTCTTCTTTTCCTATCAATTAAACTGGCTCTCCCATTTATATACAATTGATTTGTAATGCAGTCACCGCTGCCTAGTAAGCCGGTCGAATCCCGAGCTGGACCAATATTTCAGGCAATGTCCACCCCTCTGTCTCCCCCTTTCATCTCTTAACCTCCAATAAAGGCCCTCTTAAACAAAAGAACACTTGGTTTGCACTGTAGATTGATCCCTCCTGTGTTATATCCCTCCTAAACATCATGTTTCAAAAGAAAATACATCACATTTAGAACATGATGAAACTATTTAATAAGACCTTGAATGTTAATAGCCTCACAGGGCCCCTTACCTTCCTCTACAACCATTCAACGTGCTTCTATATTTGGTTATTAACATTTGAGAATGAATAAGTTGACTTCCTTCACTTTGGCATCACAATAAAGTGCACTTGAAGTATGCATTTAGCTTAACTTAAGACTCTTGAGAGTTGCCTTATTTTGATCTACTGGATATATTTTTCTTGAAATCACACAATATATGTTTTCATTTATTTGTAATCAATAATAAAGGATAATCTGTAGTGATTTTCAAGCATCGACAACCCGGATCTAAAGTGCATCAGTTATTATTTGTAACTCTCTTTCCAAGTTGTTTAATTCAAAGTCGTGATACACAGATGAGAAGAATGACAATTTCTTTTCTGTATTCACAACCATGGCTTGTGTGAATACTTTGATACCAGTTTCTGACCGGTGTGTTTCTTCTGTCCCCGCAGTATCGTAAGGGCTTCGACAGGACAGTCCTGGGAGATCAACACGCCCCAGGTGGAGCATCTCCCTCTGCTGGATATCAAGGTGTCAGACTTTGGGGAGAGCAACCAGCAGTTTGGCTTTGAAGTGGGACCTGTCTGTTTCCAAGGCTAAAAACACACACATACACACATCATGCAAAGAACAACACGTGCAAATACTCACGCACACACACATGCACTTAGAGACACACTTATATATAAGAAACATACATGCCCAGTAATTTGTAAATTCACTTGTAAATGATATGAAACACACACACAAACCCACAGACACACACACTTACACACATGCTGTTGTGAGACAAACACGCCCTCACACTCACGTACGTGCCTGGGGAAAGCAACATCCTCCCGACAAATAATGGACGTAAAAAAAAAGTAAAGAGGAGAGAAGAAGAAACAAACTCGCGGAGAGGAGACCATCGTTCGGGGCGCACGGCCGCGAGAAAGGAAGAAAAAACCAGGAGAGTTCTTCGGAATAAAACAGTGTTTTCTTTACCAGCAGCGACAGGGGCCGGCCTGAGAAAGAGGGCAAGCCGGTAGCCTAAGGCCTGAAGCCCCCCGTCTCCGACCACCTCTCACTCTTCTCTCTTCCCCGCTGTCTCTCTTTTTTCCCACTCATCTCACCTGCTCTACCTCCCCCCCTCCTCTTCCCGAAAAAGGGTCACTCTTGGACATTATTTAAATTTCTTTGATTCCGCGTTCCCACTGCGAGCAATGTGTTTGACAGTCACTCCTTTAACAATAGGTGCAAGACGCTCCTATGTAGCTGTCTGCATCTACGCTGTTTCAGCATCGTGGTTTTGGTTCACTGCTTCGGCCTTTGATCCTTTAGTCATTCGTATAGAAAGTTGCTCAGGATTTAAAGTTTTGAATCAACTTTTCATCACTTGCCATTTAGCCTTTTGACTCATGAAGCAAATTCTAAACCAATGAAAAGAGTAGAAACCAAACTCTGTCTGTTCAATCACAGCCAGTGGTCGCAAAAGTTCATCAGCGGCTCAGATCAATCTTTCTTCCTAAGGTCTAACTCATCTGGTTGTCTTATTGTGAAATCCAGTGACTTGTCAATCATGTTGCTCACAATGAAAACACAATGATCTCCCTAGCTTTTATCTACACAGAAAAGAACCAAAGAATTAAAGCCACCAGTTTCTACCCAGAAAAAAGGAGAGAATTAACCAAATGATACCAGCTGGCTGTTTTTTGTGTATTTTAAGCTGCCACTTGTCTATTGTAATATTCTTTTAATGAACACCTCGCAGTTTTAATAATCAAATGTGATTCAGGCCAATATAATGCAATCTTTCCGCCCTGAGAGCAGCAGAAACTTTAGTTGGATGGTTCACCTCTAATAAAGCATGCAGTGAGGCAAGACAGAAGATCCTAGATCAGTGAATAAAGCCATTATTTTGTAAACTGTGCTGAACTTGACACTATAGTAATTGCATGTTACTTGTGCTTTTCAAAAAGAGCTGATTCTTCTTCAGATCCAGGATCAGGCTACCAGGGTCGCTACCACACACCAGTCCAGTATTTGCTGAGTCACTTTCTGGGTCCTTTGAATATTGTTTTCCATCTGATTTCTCATCACAGCTCAGAACATCGTCAGGGTTTAAATATGTATATGAGATGAAAAGGTCCCGCCTTCTTTTTCTTAAACAGCAGTGAATAAAATGCATGCCTTACTGAAAGAAACTGTGTGGCAAGGTGTTACTTATACCAAAGCATAAAAGTCTTAATATTCACTTTGAGTCCTTCATTTTTCTTCTTTAGTCTCTTTCCATGAAGCTTTAACTGGGGAAATGTGCATTACATTACATTTGTACAGAAATAGTGATATTCTATTGTATTTATTTAAAAACAACAGGGTGCTTTGAAATTAAAAATACACGGACCACCAAATATTCCAGTCAAATGTGGTATATTTCATTGTATTTATTTCCTGTAGTGCCTCACATGTTAAACTCACTGCCAGCCTGAGTTATGGTGCTTCTGTTCACGCCCTGTCCAAACTCCTTTTGTAGAACCAAAGAATCTGTGGCCATATGTTATTGTAATATCCCTTTATAGTGTTTTCAACGACTGTACTGTGCTGTTACATTTTGCTTCCTCTGTAATGATTAAATGGTGACTCTCCAGTTCTGTCACATTTCCGTGTCGTTGCTACTGTTTGACTGGTGGTTCCTTGGTTTCAGGCTCAGATTATTGCGTAACAGGGCTTTAAATTGCAACACAAGAACAGTTTACAGTTTAAGCTGAAAATACTCTTCTGATCTTTGACATGTCTATCTGAGACCACAGCGGGGAGGAGAAAGGTTGTGAGAGGGTGGAGACAGCTCTGTTAGCCACCAGTGGATTAAAAGTGATTCATAAGAGTATTGTTTATAAGTATAATGTGGCTATGGGGTGATATCATACTAGTTCTGTTTTTTCTATTTGTCTTTTTTTACTATAGCAGGGAAACCGGGCGGGATGGCCTAAACCTAAAAAACGAAACAAATCTGACCTTGAGGTTCTCCAGAGAGAATCCCCTCAAATATTTGTTTTATTGTGTTGAAGACAAATGTTTCAACATAAGAAATATGGTGCTGAAAAGAGAAAAAAGTATTATTTTATAATGTGTGTAAGTAATTTTTAAAAGAAGTCTTGTTTCTGTAATATATCATCTTTTAAAAAGAGCTGCTTGACTCTTGTTTTTCTTCCAATGCCCCGTCATCTTTAGTTGTTGTCGACCTTTTTGCATTTGTTCAGGTTCTTTAGAAATTACAAGACAATACATAATATTCTGTTCAGTGGACAAAACACTGCGGAGCCCTGACAGGAGGAGTGTGTCAGGTTATAGAGGACCATTTGTGTAAAGCTTATAGGTACATTGTGACACCTTACAAATGTATCTTAAATGCTACTGCTGTTAGAAAGATGTAGCAATTTGATGGAAATATCAGAAGTTAGATGTGAAAATCAGATGAGAGGTAAATGATATAGTATGCCATCATTTATAATATAGTATAGTTGAGTATAGTCAAGTATATTATAGTTTGTGTGCTGCAAATACTTCATATCATAGTATCAAGTATTTCTTTAGTATAGAAAAGTGAAAAATGTCATAGTATAGTGTTCCATAAGAACATCACAATACAGTATATGAATAGTATTCTATTCTAGGACTTGTTGACATGCTGTACCTGAATTTTCTTCATATATCAACAAACTATGCCGTTCTATGATATTTTCCGATATATATTTTTTTCACATACTATCTCGTTTTTTATAATATTTTCAACATACTATTCTATTTGTTTTTTTCTGATATTTTTTACAAACTATACATAATATAAATGTAACACGTTTTTAAGGATATTTTCAACATTACATTCATTTGACACACTTTATGTTGTTTTTCATTACATTTTTGGACAAAGGTTTCAATGACTTTTGTTCAAAATACTACACTATGTCGTTTTTTATAATATTTCCAACGTACTATACAATACCATTGTGTTTTTTCTGAAAATTCCGACATTCAATGTCATGTCGTTTTTTTCTCATAATTTCGATTCACTATAATATTTAGTTTTTTCTGATGTCTTCCTCATAACTGTTTCTTTTTTACAACATACTATGTTATGTTGTTTTTTCATATATTTTTAGCATACTATTCTGTGTCCTTGTTTTTGGACACACCATACTATGACTTTTTCCTGATATTTACAGCATATGGTACTATGGTGATTTTTCTGATATTTTTGGTGTACTATTCAATGCTGTTTTTCTGATATATTTGACAGACTCTACCATGTCTTTCATTTAAATACTATAGTCTGACATTTATTATAATTTTATATATTTTCAAGTTATTATACCATTATGTCGTTTCCGTTATTCTTCAAAATACTAGAACATTAATTTGACACACTTGTTTGTTTTGATATTCTCTTTTTTCCAAAATGCTATACTATGTTGTTTTTTATGATATTTTCGAGGTACTATTCTATGGCATGTTTTAAAAATATTTTGGACTTACCATAGTGTGCTTTTATTTGATGTTTACGGTAAACTATGCTGCGGCGAAAGCAGATGAGCTCATTATCAGAGTGGAGCGCCCTTTAAAGAGCTCAGCGGTCCAAACCCTTTTCAGTGCTTTAACCTAAAGTGTTTCCATCACCAACCTACAGAGGATCAGAAGAAAAGCTTTTAAAGCACAAAGATAATCCTGAGAGGCTCAGAGCGGTCTGAAGATCTTGAGTAAGTTTGATTCCGGTCCGCCCTCTGAGCGGGGTTAGGATGAGAGTTTAGGACAGTGCAGGCATCTGAAGGCTTTAGTTAAACACTTTATTCAGATCTTTCAAATCAAAATACAACATTCTGTACAGAAATATTACAAACAGGTGTTTATTGGCACAACCGGAATTTTAAAACATAATTATCAAAATAGTATCATTTTCAACATTTAAATTAACTACGAAGGAACTGGCCTCCCATTGGTCTTCATCGGTGTGACAGACAGTCCATTTATCCAATGAAGAGTCCACCTGACAAAGAAAGAGCACATGTTGAAGACGATGAAATGACCGGAGAGTTTTTACAGAAACAGCTGTGAGAGAACTGAGTCACACCACCTGTCACTTCCAGGCTGACTCCGGTGATGTATCGAGAGTCATCTGAGGCGAGGAAGGCACAGACATCAGCGACCTCTAGAGGAGGACAAAGAGAAGGCAGGTCAATCTACATCCCTGTACTTCATTTCACTTAACAGAACAAAAGAATCAGAGGTCTGGGGAAGTTAAGAAGAAAGAAGTATTTACAAAAAACAGCATTTCAAATGGTTTTGTGTCCAACGGTAAAACCTTTTTCTAGTTTAGATTCATGAGCTTAGAAAACTTCCTTTACAATCCTATACAGTGAAATAAAGACTGAAGGTCTGCGGTGAACACACAGTGATGTTAACATGAGTCAGCACTGACCTGCAGGCTCACCCATTCTTCCCAGAGGCACCAAGGATTTCATCTGAAACACAATGAAACATGACAGAGCAGATTTAAGGCTGTATCAATAAAGGTATTTTGTATTATCTTATCTGGAGGGAGGTCAAAGTGACTGCATTGTAAACTAAAATCGAGGCAAGAAATGGGTTTACTAAAAGAGGTGTTTAGTGTTATACACATATTTTGACTTTATAATAAACAATCAGCGATACCCTCTTGGCTTAAATAACAGTTTGTCTTTGGTACATCTTGGACATCAAATGGCTTCACTTGTTGAAATGCACAAAATGTAATTTACAGCACAAAATAGTAGTTTTATAAACTGCATAGTAATCACTGTTCAGAATTACTACGGGAGGTTCAAATCTGAGTCAGGATTTTAAACCTAATAGATGAAGTGTTATTTAATCTGTGTGTTCTCGTGCGTGTGTGTGCGTTACCCTGCTAATAACTTTCTCTGGAACTTTATCTGTCATCGGAGTGGATATGAAACCTGGCAGCACACAATTACACCGAATGCCAAACCTGTAGCAACGGACAAAGAAAGCAGATTATTATATTGTATTACTCTGTACTCACCATCACTGTGGGTCAGGATGTGTTTGTTGCTTCAGGCTCTTCTCACCTGCTGAGCTCTTTGGCCGCGGTCCTGGTCAAACCCTCCACTCCTGCTTTAGAGGCGGAGTAATTGGCCTGTCCGATGTTTCCCACCTACGAGCATTAAGGAAACCGACACAGGGATACAGTGCATCAAGTTCAGCATCACTTAAGGTTTTGTTATGGAACATCAAAAGGTCAACCCCCCCCCCCCCCCCCCCCTCAGACAGGACTGAACAACTCATTAACCAGCTCCTAAAAAAATCGTCTGGCATCCCTACTTTATTTAAGAATACAAATATATGCTTTATAGATTTCTGAAAGTGTATTCTTGTGCTTTAGAAAACTGCTATAAAAGTTTAGAACCACAATTGCCACTAACCTGTAGCTTTCATATTTGGGGACGATTCCACTGTCACTTTTATTGTTTTACCTTTCTGGATAAAAAACGTAAAGCTACTTATTAGAGAGGCCATGCTCCCACCTTTCCCACGATGCTGCCCACGGTGACGATGGATCCTTTGGGTGCTCCGCAAGCCACCAGAGCCTGAGCCACGGCCTGAAGGACCAAGAAAGAACCCTGGGAGGGATGCAGGGAGGGAAGTGCATTTCACTTTCATGCTCACTTTCACTTTCATGCTGTGTAAAACAGATTTGACTTCACTGAGAGAGCGATGAAAGGAACACTACAGAAGATGAGCAATTGTATTTCAATCTCTCACTACGAATTACCTTCCATACTAGAAGAACGGTTTTTCTCGCAAACCTCCACAGTGAACTCATTTTGTTAAATGGGAAAGTCTTGATGAATTGTTATCAATCTGGGCCGCTTTAACTGCGGCAAAACTTTATGAAAACATTAGATTACCAACTCTGATGCAGTATAATACAAGTCTCCCTCTTTTAGTCTCAGACTCACTACATGCATTGTTACTTAAACCATACCTTTGAATTAGAAACCAACTTTTTCTACTAATAGTAACAAAATAAAAAAAGCCACTATATGTGACAAATACAGTAGTATTATGTCTAGAGTGAGTATTGATGTATTAAGATAAACTATTATTAAAGTTGGATGCACATAAAAATATATATATATATATATAAATATAAGACTGCTTTTCTGCTGCCAAGATAATAAGAAAAATAAGGGTAGTTCCTGCCTGGTGAGGTCAGTCTGATACAAATTGGGCATTAATAATGAAGCTAGCTAAATAAATGAAAAATGTTTTTAAAATGAAAGACAGAAATGTTGTTATTTATTTAATAAAATGTTGTCTGCTGTTTTGGAAACTGCATTGAGGGAAGAGAGATCTTAACGGATCTCTGGAACATCTAAAAGACTCTACCGACCCATAGGAATATATATCGCTCTTTATTGGTTAAAACTTTATTGGAAAATTAGTGCTTTTGATCCTGTAATGATCCTGCAGGAATGATCACTACATCTTTCCAGTGATCTGATTGGTCAGTAGTCAAACGGTTGAGAGGTTTCTATCTGAACCTCTAAAGTTTACCTATATTTTAAATGAGTTAACTCACTAACCTCTACGATAAGCTTTGCGGTACAGGCTGCGTACCTTCAGGTTGACCCGGATGACATTGTCAAAATGATCCTCGTCCATGTTGAGCAGGAAGTCGTCCTGGGTGATGCCTGCTGCGTTCACACACACTGACGGAGGCTGAAAGTAGTGAGTCTGCAGAGGGAGAGCATTGACTGTTAACAGAAAAGATAGAAGGGGAAAATTGAATGGAGAATGTTGCAGCTTGACTTTAATTACATTTGTTTTGTGTTGATTGTTTTTGGGCAGTAGTAAACACCTGTATTCTTGTGACAAGATTCTTTACACTCTCTTTTGAAGACACATCCACCACAGCCGCCATGTGACCCTGCCCTCTGAGGTCCCTCTGCAGGCTCCCCAGGGTGTCATGGGCCGACTCCTCGCTGATGTCAGCGACCACCACGGAGGCGCCCTCAGAGGCGAGGCGCTGACACACCGCCCGCCCGATCCCACTGCCTCCTCCTGGGTGGGGAGAGAGCAACAGGAAGTCAGAGCAACACCTGAGACGGACAGCCTGTGTCGACCAATCGAGGCA